TAAAAACTTTTTTTTTATCTCAAAACACCTAAATAAAATCCTAAATAGCCAAATAAACCTATATATGAACTTAAATTAGTAAATATTTGCTCTAAAAACTAAAAATCAACACAAGAATTTCTCTAAGTTAGATTTATTCTCTTATGCAATTTTAAGATGAAATATAACACTAATAAAAAAAATTCATCAAATGAAAGTAACTGATACTAAGATCAATTATTTAAGTGATCATGATTAGGCCTATTCATGGTTCGGTTTAGTTCGGTTTGAACCATAAAAACCAACCCAACCAAATAACTTATATTTTTAAAAATTCAAATTAAACCGAACCAAATTTTAGTTGAAACCGAACCAGTTCAGTTCTGTTGAATCCGGTTTCATAGCTAAAAAAGGGAAACCTAATCATTAAATTAATGGGCTAAAAAACCATTCAATTTAATTTTTATTTGGGTTTTTATTCGGTTGCAAGTAGACTAAATGGATGTTGAGATGTGGGTTGTTGACTTGTTATTTGGCTAGAGAAGAAATAGATGCAGGAGGCAATACGAAGGGAGATGAAAATTGAAGGGCAAGATGCAGGGGTAAGGGCAAGACAGATGCGAAAAGAAGAAAAGGGAGGATGGAAATTAAATTGAAGGACAAGAGTTAAGATGCAAGGGAGGGGCAAGACAAATGCAGAAGAGAGAAGAGGGAGGGTGAAAATTGAAGGTCAAGAGTTAAGATCCAGGGGTAGGGGGCAAGACAGATGTAGAAGGGAGAAGGTGATAAATTGTCTTTGGCTATTTGCTCTTTGGTGTGGGCGATGGTTTCAGAATGTCAATTAGGGTTAGGCTTAGTGGTTTACTCTTTACCGTGTTATTTATATTATCGGTTCGCTTCATCAGTTTAAATGGTCAAATCAGAACCGAACTAGACCGATAAGATTTTATGGTTTTAAAAATTGGATTACTCGATTTTTTATCTCGGTTTTGTTTTTTTGATTAATTTTTTATTAGTTCTCTCTGTTTTTTCAGTTAATCAGTTTTTTTGAACACTCTTAATCATGATCGGTATTAATCATGATTCTGATGACTTCTCTTCTCTCTTAAATATAAAATTGAAAAATAAAAAATAAAAACATGATTTGGAATTTTAAATTGGCCTCACAACTAATATTAGATAGAATCAAGCATGCTTAACTTGGGTTGGTCAAGTGGGGGAGGACAACAATACCGCTTTAGTTTATGTCTAACATTGGGGTAAGAGAATAGTCACAACTAGACATGGGCACACAATATATTGTGGATTCGTATTTTTATTTCTTTATGTGGAAAAAATTATATCCATGAAATCTAGTATTAATAAATTGATTTTATTTTAATTAGATGATAAATAATAATAATTATTATAATAATAATAATGAACAAACAAAATAAAAAAATCATAATAACCTAAAAAATAAAAAAAATAAAAATAAAAACCTTAGAAAGTATGTGATTTAAAAAAATAACAAATAAACCAACATTAAATCAATCTAAGGTAGCATGCTGCATATGTAAGTTGGATACTAAGGAACGAGTCAACTCATACTAGCCTGTAAAACTTGTAATTCAAGTCATGAGATCAGAATAATCTGATAAAAATAAATTTAAGAAAAATATAAAGCTTTTTTATTTAAAAAAATTAATATTGAACGATAAAATTGAAAAATAAAACAGAAAAAAGGATGTCAAGCCACATCAACTTTTCAAATCCATAATCCGAGTCATTAGACTGGAAATATTAAACATGAAAAAACATTTAATTATTACTACTTCTACCATTACCATTAATATTTTCTTAGAAGGAATTATCAATCCAATTACTTTAACCAAAAATTTTAATTATCCCTTTGATAATTAATTTAAATCCAACAATTATATTTCATTGCCAAAATCTTTGGTAATTCTTTTCAAGTACTCTATTTCTTTGTATAACTATTCTAAGATATTTATTTACCAATATTTTCTAAGGAAAACTCTACAAGTTCTATATTATCTTCAATACCACTGAATTCTAGTATCCTCACATGGATACTCATTAATTTAGCATTTCTATTTTAGAAGCCAATCAATCCAATATTTTCTTTTGAATATCACATAAATTCTAATGCTTACACAAATACTCATAAATTTGGTACTTATATATATAATTTTTTGGAAGCCAAATCAATCATGTATTTTTTTATGAACTCTAGTATCCTCGTATGAATATTCATTAAATCCATCATTCTTATTTTGGAAGTCAATTAATTCGGTATTCTTTTCTAAATAGCACATAAATTTTAGTATTCTCACATGAATGCTCATTAAATCTAGCATTTCTATTTTTTTAAGCCAAATCATTCTAGTATTCTCTTTTGAATAGCAATTCTCTACATATTAAGTTATTTATGTTTCTTACATGACAATTTCAACCAAATAATAAAAATAAGCATTATTGTATCTACAAATACCTAAAATATTCAAATACTTTGATTTAAGGTGACTATGTTTCACCTATCTGCGGCTATTTGGCGCATTATGGTTGACATGTTCTTTAACCCTCCTACAATTTCTCCTAAGTCACTGAATCAAATTTATTTTTAGATTCATGAAATCTCTTCTTCTACGAAATTTTTTCTTCTTCTTACCTTTTCAATTTAAATTATTCTCATATATATACTCTCTACTCCAAATTCCTTAATTAACATGTCTATAATGATTTCTTTTCTTAATTAATTCAATTCTTTCCCTAGTATCTTCTTCTAGAAATAACACTTCATTTTGAATTTATTTGGCTTAACTCTATCTAAGTTTAATAATTTAAATTCATTGATTCATTTGTTACTTTTTTTTTTTATTGAAATCAAATTCTTAATGGGGTGACCTCTTTCTCTTTCAATTTCTCACCTTTTACATATTTAATTTATCTAATCAACATATTTCTACAGAAATCTCTTAATGATGATGATGATGATGATGATAAAACTACTAATGATAATTATATTAGTTGTAATAGTTTGTTATAATAATAGTAGTAGTGCTAATGATAATAATAGTATGATAATGGTAACAATAATAAAAATGATGATAATAGTTGTATATGTAATAGTATTGACAATAATAACAATGATAATAATAATGATAATTGTAATAGTAATGGTAATTATAATAATAGTAGTAGTAGTAACAATAATAACAACAACAATAACAATGATAATTGTAATAGTAATTGCAATGGTAATAGTGATCATATTACTACTATTGCTGCTACTATTATTACTAATGATGATGTTGATGATGATATGAAAATACCTGAAGGATTTAAAATACTTGAAACATATAATTTAAATCCCTAAAAAATTTACTCAATCAAATTGCAAAGGTTTTCACATGAATTAAAGTAATCACGACGCATATGATATAATTATCTTAGTGAATATTTATTTAAATAAAGGTATATTAATGATCTTATATACGCATGTGTTTATAAAGAAAACAAAATCTAATTTTGCTATTATTTATGCGTATGTTAATGATTTAAATATTATTGGAACTCCTGAATCAATACCAAAGACAATAAATTATTAAAAAAAAGGATTTGAGATGAAAGATTTGGGAAAAACAAAAACATTTCTTAGCCAGTAGATCGAACATTTAATAAATAAAATTCTCATTCATCAATTAACTTGCATAGAGAATGTTTTAAAAGATTTTATATGGATAAAGAACATTCATTGAGTACATAAATGATTGTTTGATCACTTAATGTGAAAAGAAACCCTTTTAAACCTCGAGATGATAATAAAAAACTACACCTCAGTGTAATTGGTGCGCCAATATATCTTGTTAATAATAAAAGACTTGATATAACATTCTTTATGAATCTACTAACAATATATAGTTCCTCTCCTATATGGAGACATTGGGATGAAGTTCAACATATTTTTCATTATATACAATGAATTACATATATGGACTTATTTTATTCAAATAATATGAATAATTAATTAATTAGGTATGTTGATGTAATTAAGATATTATCTTATCCATATAAAGGTTAATCTTAAACATATTATCTCTTTATATATAACAATATTGCAATATTATAGAGATTTACAAGGTAAACATTAATTGTCACTTTATCTAATCATGCTGAAATACTTGTAATCTATAAAACTACTTGAGAATGTGTGTGGTTTAGATCAATTACTCAATATATTTGTGGAACATGTGGTTTATCCTTCAATAGAGAAGCTCCAGTCATACTATATAAAAATAATATTGCATGCATATTTTAATTACAGAGGATAAATTAAAAGAGATAAGAAAACTTACATTTTACAGAAATTCTTTTTTACATGTGACCTTGATAAGTGTGGTGATATTGATATTTATTAAATTCGCTTGAAAGATAATCTAGTAGATTTGTTCACTAAAAATTATCAACTATGATGTTTGAAAGATTGCAACATAATATTGAAATATGATAATTTAAAGATTTAAAGTGATATTTTTACGAGGAAAAGTTAATGCATTGTACTTTTTTTTTTTCTTAACCAAATTTGTGTTATCCATTGTGTTTTCTCTTATTAAGGTTTTAAATAAGATATTTTTCAATGTATAAGATTGTACAAAAGATATCCAAGGAAGAGTATTATAAAATCATACATTATAAATAAATTTTTATTTGTCTTCTTCCACCACTTTATCTTCGTATTCATTCATCATCTTTAAGTATATTTGAATTTTATATCTTTAAAAAAAAATTAGGTTTATAAATATAAATATTAATATGTATTAGACTAAATATGAGTATTATTAAGATAATATTAAAATATAATTATACTTACAAGATTATATAAAATAAAAATGATATTTTTATTTATCTAATATTTATTATTTTTATTTATTTTTTATAAAGTATATTCCGTATTTCTAAATATATATTTAGTTTTGGACAACAAAAGTGTTTTTAAAAACTTTTTTTTTTCTCCGCATAATAAATGCATCTATGACTGTCCTGTTTCCGGTCCTTTATCATGAACAGCAAGCAAGCGCTACTTTTAGTTTAGAAAAAACTTCTCCATTTGACGATTTCCTTTGCCTATATTCATTCACTTCCATCTGTAACCATGCCTCCTCCTCATCGCCACCATGATCACCAGCATACACACGGTGGTGCAACACCACCGAAACCAAACCAAAAGCTTCTTTCCTTGATCCTCAAAACCATAATAATGACTGCAATAACCACCCTTTTTTTCCTATTCCTTGGTATTGCCGCCATCCTCCTCCTCATTGCCACCGCCGCACTCCACCGCCACTCGAATCCATCCTCCAATTCCTCAAATGGGTTGTCTCTCAAAGATTTAAAGAAGCTCCCAATATTCAGATTTTCGACTCAGACAAGACCTGAAACGGGTGCTAATCAAACTTCATGTGTGGTTTGTCTTGAAGAGATAAAGCAAGGACAGTGGGGTAGAAACCTTGTTGGATGTGGTCATGTGTTTCACAGGAAATGTGTGGATGCTTGGCTTGTCAAGGTTTCTGCGTGCCCTATTTGCAGGACACAAGTTGAATTGGTTCATGGAGTAAAAGATAGTCCATTATGGGACTTTGATTGGACAAATGAATTGAGGGTTTGGTAGATTTTTCCTATCCTTTTCTAATTGTAAGTTCTTGCTAAATTTTGAGTCTATTTTTTTTCTTTTGTATGTACGTTATTAGATTTTTGGGTAATAAATGAACGAATGGTTTGACATCCATTTGATATGACTTGCAGCATTCTTGTTTTGGCCTATAATTCTCTTCATTACATATGCTTTGTTGAATATGAAATCTTATTTTGGTTGTTGGATTCTTGATTTAGCTCCTAATAACATAATTCAAATGCGACTACTTTGATCAGTCAGAATTGAATTTAGTCAAGATTTCTGACTATAAGAGATCAGGGTTCAATTACTTTGAATTGTCTGTGGTAAGTGGTACGATCCATTCTGAATTTGCTGATCAGACTTTGAAATCATTATAAAGGATTTTTTTTTTTTTATCTGGGTTTCTGTATCAAATGAATTAAAAAGAACTTACTGGCTGATTGAAAGGCATTTTGCAAATTGATGTGGATAAGCTATTTTTGTTTTCCTGTGCATGAAATGATTGCTCATGAATATTTTTAACACATTCAAACTAGAGTAGTATTAAAATCTAGTAACCCCAGTTCATAACTTTTGAGTTCGTCCATCAAATTTATTCCAGTAATTACATCAATGTAGTGGTCAACACCACTTTCAGACTTGAACAGAAATTTTTTTGTAGCTTTAAGCAGCTATTCACCAGCCCCTAAGATATTTCTCTGTTTTTCCTTTAGTGTTCTGAACAAAGTAAGCAGAAATATAGAACAACATAAAGTTTGGAGTTCAAAAGAGAAAGATATATACCATCAAATTAAGCTGCATGATATCACGAAATTCTTACCAGTTTTCTTATTTCGTCTCTACTTCACCAACTGATTTTATTACATCATATTAGTTTTTCTTATGCTACATAAATCAGCAGCCTTGCATATCTTTTGCTTGAGATTATCCTATCTCTCTAGTATTTTGAGTGTTACATACTAAAATTAGATTTGATTTTATTTTGGTTTGATATCGTTTCTTCTGATTTCTTCATTATGAATTCCTTTTGTTGCTGGATTTTGAATGTGCTGTTTGGCACTGCATTTTGATTACTGTAATAGCTAATTGCCAATGTACTGAGCTTGAGCTTGAGCTTGCTTTTGTGTTGTCTGTGTTGTGATCTTGATCTATTCTATGAGAATCTCCTGTTGCTTGCTGTGAATTTATTTGCGTGTTTCCTGTGATGTCCCTGTCTCATCAGTATCACTTTTCCTCTAGTGTTTGTGTTTTTCCTTTTTTTTTTTCTTTTTTTTTCTTTTTTGCCTTTGTCAACTGCTGTGATTTCTCCTGGTTTGACATTGGTTTTTGCTGATTTTTTTATATCATCTATGCAGTTTTTTACTGTTTTATATGTTCTCTTGTTTGATTTTACTCTGAATTTATTATTGTTGGAAAGAAATAGGAGTTGGAAAATTTCATTATTGCTGTGGTCTAATTACAAATTCTTTTTTGAAGTTGCTCCTGGCGATTTCTCAAAATATTTCATCTCAATTTGTGCTCTCTCCTAAGGTGCATATAATTGTCAGATACTACATGAAGGGTAGACAGCATGTGGTGTTCTGGTTGTAGGTTATCTATGAGGTGCATGACTCAGCATGCATTGGTGTTGAAAGGTTGATTGGCTTGGATCATGATGGATCTTATAAAGATGTGCCACAATTGGGTCATTTAGTTACTCAATCCTCAGAATTCATATCCTATATAAAGTTTCAACAAAATCTTAATCTTATCATTGTTGCCATTTATTGTTTCTTGTTTTTTGGTCATGATCTAATGTTTCGGCCAGCAGTGAAAATGATTGTTGGGAAGTGGGTACAATTCAATGCTGTGTCTGGGTAGGGAAAACACATGCTGCAGTATGTTATTTTTAGTTTTTAGGCTTTAATGTATTGGTGCTACGGGAATGATTCTCCTTGCTTTGTTTTGCATATTCTTGTGACTGTTAATCATGCATTTCAGTTATAAGAATGTATACCAGAGTTAATTATTTGCATGGTGAATCCTTCCTTTTTTTTGTCATTGCATAACTTGCATACATATTTTCTTGGTTCTTAAGCAACGAACCTTTGTGGTTCCTTCTCCCTATAGTGAAATTAAAATCTTAGAATTTTGGTGCGTGGCATGCTACTTCATTGGATAGAGATTTTTTCATGCTTTTTCAACAATTATACTTGCCAAAATAAGAAAGAACAATGATCCTGTCAGGAAACTGCACCTTTCTTGAATTCCCAAACACAGATTCACTTCATATGAACTCATGAGCTTTTATTACACCTCTTAAGGAAGATGTTTACTAAGTTTAGTTTGTCCCAGTATGCAACATGATTTGTTAAAATAAAGACTTTGGAATTTGATTCTTGAACCACTGGACATCACACTTGATTTTTCATCTACAGGACAGAATGTAGTTTAATGTTAAAATGTGATTCTTGCCAAGATGAAGCTGGATTTTCAGAAAGAACAGGGTAGGCTGGTGGTTGAATTAAGCTGACTATTCTGAAATGTATCCATTGACTGATAGTTTCATTTGCTCTCCTCCTACTATTGACAAGCAATGTGGTGTTCTAGTTCTTAAATTTTTATTCAGATATTATGTTGAGTTGTTTTGAACCCTTCTGGATCGTACGGGAATGTTGCTTGGTTACATGAACCTCTATAATCTGATTGCATATCGAGGATTTTTCAGAATATCTGCGAAGTCATTATATCCACCTATAATTTGCATGGATTTCGAATAATGACTGGTGCTGTGGCCCGATAGCTAAAAGATTTGCTGTGAAATTAAATTTGATAAAAAATGTTACTTTAGGAAGGCTGGCGGGGTGGGTGTGAGCGGACTATTCTGATTTTCTGATAAGTATCCATAGACTTTCTCAGTTTTACTGATAAATTAAAAGACTAAGTCCTTCCTGCAGTGTCTCACTAGCATAACAGAATTCAGGTTCATCTTCTGGTGCCTCCCTCTTCCATTCTCGTCTCAAATTCTCTTTCTATCATCAGTTTAGCACATCACCTTCAAACCGTTTTCAATTTACATCTTCTTCTTCCATGACAAGCTGTGTATTTAGTTGTTGCACTGCTCTCATGGACAGCGCCAAGAGATGAACTCCCATTGTGCTCTATATACAAAATTTTGTTTCAACAATGATCTCAAGGACCTATCAGCAGCATGAATCATTAATGTTTCTGTCAGGTTCTAAGCACTAACTATCTGCCTACTTTGGGGATTTCCACCTGATAATCTGCAAGAAATCATGAAAAGGAATTGTCAACTCTAGCCAGGCTAACTGACACTCAGTTCTATGAGTCGGGGTTACATCGTATGTGTCAATGTTCACATCATAGGTCAAGTTCTGCGCCTTACGGTGAGAGCTAAATTATAAGAAACATCATTCAACTCTCAATGATGGAGGGAAAAATCCTCGCAATGATGTTTCATTTGTCTTGTTTACTTAGCGTATTGATTACTAGCTGATGCAGTTTGTTTTCTTTTGAGGTTGTCTTTAAATAAGATCATTGATGAGAGGTCAAATATAAACGCTAGACAAAAAATTAGGTCGAAGGAACCGTTCAAGCCTGAAGCCTATTCTTGGAATTGTATCCTACTATATTTGTAAGTAAGATGTTAATATATAAATTCATATTTATGCCAGAGTTATGGGTGTCTGTTCCAATTTTCAGGTGACCAAGGGCGGATTCTGGTTTCCAAAGTGGTTGCGTTGTTCTGGATACATCAATCACTCCTTCACCCATTCTATCATGCCCCGTAAGCGCAAGCAATTCGGCAGAACGCTACGCTTGGAACGATGGATTTGAAACAGTTTCTTGGAAATGGGTTTTGTAAGAGAGTCTGTCAACTGATCAACCAAGTAAACATGAGAAACTCGTATTAGACATTTAGCAACTGGATCATGAATAAAGTAGCAAAGTTTTTCATACGAAAGTGGAAAATTAAATTTGGATAGAGATATGTAGCCCCAACGTTGTCACAGTATACTGTCGGGGTTGAGGATAATGTAACACCAAATTCTCTAACAGGTCAGGTTAGATGAGTAACTTTGATAGTAACAGATGCAATGACATGATATCCAGCTTCCATTGAAGACTAAGCAATGGCAGGTTATTTCTTTCAACAAGAAGGATGACATAAGCAGAGGTGGACGTTGTATCATCAATATTACCAGCCCAATCTACATCAGCAAAGACAAAGGGAGATGTAGATAGTTGTTGATTCAAAAACAATCCAGAATCAACACTACCTTTAAGATGTAGTAGTATTCTTTTGACAGCAATCTAATGAAGGTCGGATGGTTTATGCATGTACTGAGTAAGCTTATGATAGAAAGAGGCTATTAGTAGTTTGACAGGATTCAATTCCAAAAAAAATAATGAAGAGAAATCCTTCAAGAAGAATCGATGTACAAGCTTCTCTACACCACCTGATTAGCATGATCATTGTTTCGTGCAATGATTTCATCTACAAAGACAAGGAGATAAAGTCTCATAGTAAATGTATGTTGAATAAACAAGGAGGTGTCACACTTTGAGTTGGATAAGCCATTGTCAAGAAGAAAAGTACACAGCTCGTTATAACAGGCTTGTGGTGCTTGACGTAGACCATAGATGGCTTGGTGTAATTTGCAGACATAATTAGAAAACTAAGATGAAGAAGTCCTTGGGGCTGCTACATATAAGAAATAATTGTTAACATCTAACTGGCGCAAAAGCCAAAAGTTTTGGTTAAATATATGGTGGCAAGGAACTCTTTCTTTTTTGTTTTTAAAAAGTTTTTTTAAAATTTTTATTTTTTTCTTTACTTAGAATTAATATTTTGTAGTATTTTCATGTTATTTTGATAGGCTGATATCAAAAATAATTTTATAAAATAAAAAAATATTATTTTAATATATTTTTAAACAAAAAAATACTTTACAAAATATCATAAAAAATACTTTATTATATAACATTTTCAAATACCACTTATTTTTAAAACAATAAAAGCCTCAAAATATCATAAAAAATACTTTATTATATTACATTTTCAAACACCATTTATTTTTAAAACAATAATTAAAACAATAAAAGCCCTAGGCTACAAGCTGAGCTTTGTAACACAGAGAGGCATGGTGATGCTATTTCTACAATGATTCATGAAAAAATGATTTTTAATGCATAAAAATTTCTAGATATATAATTCAAAACACTATATTAACTTGACATATTTAAAATCAATTATTATTTAAGACCTAATTGTCTGCATTCACATTCTAATATGACATGATTTTAATCACCCATTTGCTCATAAATTTAATTTCATTATAATAATATTTTAGAACAAAACATATATAATACTAATACTTAATGTAATGAACTTTATTTATATTTTTCTTGTTAAGCATAAGAAGATAACAAATAGTGAAGACTAAGAAGAGAGTTACAATTACAAAGTTTGACTGATAGACATTAAAGACTAAGAAAAAAGTTACAATTATAAAAATTCAAACTTTATAATTGTTAAGCTAACAGATATTAAAGATCAAGATGAGAGTTTTAAAAAAGAGTTACAGTTACAAAAATTCAAACTTTATAAGTGCGAGCTTTTTATTTATGATGGATATTCTAGTGCATTAATGAACCTACACTAATCATGATTTCAAAATTGAAATTAAAATTATATTTGTAATAATATTTTGTAACTAATTAGTTTAGAATGCATGTATATGTGAGTTTTTGTTGTACTATTATTCAATCATTAAAAAAATATATACAGATTATATTTTTTTATATTCTTTGTTTTTCATTATTTCTTGATATTAGAGCACTTTAGCTCATGCTTCTTTGATCTAAGCTTTCGTAAAAGATGTCTTTTTCCAGCAATACCAGTAACCTTTTACATCTCAATTCAACAGTGGCTCCTACTTCTTTTAAGCTCGATGAAATAAATTATTTAGGATGACAATCTCAGTTTCTGTCCTTCCTTAAAAGCAATGATCTTCTAGGGTTCATGGAAGGATCTAAACCTGTCCCTGAGAAGACAACTGTAGATGGTATTACAATGCTATATATACTGTCTGGTATAAGAAAGACCAGGCATTACTTGGACTTATTTTGTCTTCAACAAGTCCAAATCTTGTTGTCTCATTTTATGGCTAGAATAAATCCAAACAAGCTTGGAATGCACTCAAGATGAAAATCTCCAATCAATCTAGATCTCGTATTGCACATATATGAAGACAACTGCAAACTACCACACAAGGATCCAAGAAATGTTCTACATACTTGGAGGATACCAAATCCATTGTAGATCAATTAGCAATTGCAGAAAAAATAATTGATGATCAAGATTTGACTTCCTTCATACTTGGAGGACTTAATCAGGAATATAATCCATCCATTACTTCATTTAATTTTATCTCCAAAGACAATAAATTTACCTTTGAAGATTTTAGTGCTAAACTATTAAGTCATGAATCTTTACTAGAGACTCAACGATCAACAATGGTGTCTAACACTACTTTTGCATTTGCTGCCAACGAGAAGTCCCCATTTACAACTAAGCAGAAACCTTATATTCTTCTCATCGATCAGAAGGTCCACAACAATGAAACTCCTATCCTAACGCTTTGTTAGGACAACTTGCTGTGACAAAACATAATTCATACCAAACTACCACACGTCTAGTATGTCAAATTTATGATCGCACAGGACATATTGCAATTGATTGCTATCACAGGTTTGACTATGTATATTTGACATGATCAAAAGATTGATGTTTTCTCCCAAGT